CCTTAATTCATACTCCCTTTTCTGTTACGCATTTTGGTGAATGATGGACATTTAGGATCCACTCCTGGATTGTTAACCATCATCATTTCAACACTGATTACAATCTCTTATTTACTGATGATAGACAGCTAATACTGTGTTCTTAAGGATTTAGAAATTATCGAAAGAATTTTGAGCTTTATTTGCCTTTGATACTTGTCTCTAGTTTCTGAAATTTGCTTAAAAGAGAAAATTGGACAAAGGAGTAGTTTTACTACTTCCTGAAGCTCAAATACCAAAGCAGAGAACTTTCAGAGACATCTTGATTCTATTAGAGCTTGAGGTCAAAAGGCAGGTTCAACTGGTCTGGTTGTTTAAAGCACCAGGGATTGAGTGAAAAGACCACTCTAATGACTTAAAGTTGGAATTCTGCTACCTATTCATTATGTCAGTAATATGACATGTTCATCATGTAGTGAAAGAGGGGGTTACTAATCACTTTGAAAGGTTTTATGTCCCTTTCTTTCTCTTTTTCTTTCTTTCTTTTTCTTTCTTTCTTTTTTTCTTTCTTCTTTCTTTCTTTCTTTCTTTCTTCTTTTCTTTCTTTCTTTCTTCCTGCCTTCCTTCCTTTCTTCCTTCCTTTCTTTCTTCCTTTCTTCCTTTCTCTTTCTTTCCTGAGCAAAAGATACAAACAGGACAAGGAGAATTTGGCAGGAAGAGCATTGAAGTTTTTATTTTGCTCTGGACTTATGGCATACATGTATTACCTTTCACATTTTATGTGCTCATGTTACTCCCTTAGGGCTCATGGAAATGAAGCCAGAATGTACATTGGCAGGTCTCCCCTTTCTGTGGAATCTATGTGAGGCTGCTCTCAGTTAATGATTAACCTCTATTAAGGTTCAGTTTCTTTAAAGTATCCATATCAGAATAGGTGACTTCTAGATCTCAAGCCATTGACTCTCATTAAAAACAAATTACCTCTGGTAATTTCTGTTTTGTTCTTTATAGTTTCCTGTGACTTTCAGTTTTTCTCGATTGAACGTGTATTACCCTTATCAGAAAATATCATTTTACAAAGAAGTAATGGCGTGGAGTGGGCAGCTACTAAAATAAATTCTTTGCACAATTTGCTTTTTTTTTTATTATTCTTTTGCATTCCGTTCCTTGTGAAAAACCAAGTGTTCTTAACGGGTTTGAGTTTAGACACTTTTAAGTGTACTGTATAAAGTACAGCCATGTAAGTTTAACTATATCATGTGGTCCTTTCTATCAGATATATTAAGGGGAAACAATAATTTTTCTTATTCCCCCAAAGTTATCAAAGTTATCACTATTACATTTACTAACTTTCACGTCCTTGTCTGTCTTTCAAAATGTTTTCAGGAGGTTTTTCTCTTCCATAGTACTACCAAACAAAGCCTATTTTATCTGCACTATATGCCAATCACTGTAAAAACAAGTTTTGCAAAAGAGAAAGAGTTCATTCAAGAGGCAGCCAAACATGAGGAAGCCCCAAGTCTCAAATCAACTTCCCTAAGGGTAGGGGTTGTGGGTGTTTATTGCAGAAAGAAGCTGGGTGATCAGAGCAACAGAGAAAGGTCATTGGAAGTAAGGAAAGGTGAAGTGGTCTGCACATGCATAATAAAACTTAATGGCTCTTCATAGGATGCATGTTCAGAAAATGGTGACATTAGCATTCTGTGAGGGTAGTTTTTAGCTATCTGATAAAAAAGTTGACCCATAAGGATCAGTGGTTTCCAATGCTTTGAGCTCTATCTACCTTCTTTAAAAAATAACTTAGACAACCATCATGACCCATACCCAGAGATATGATCGATAGCAAGGCTACTGGGAGTATTTTACTTTGCAATGTGACCTCAAAAATTGGCAATAAAAATAAGTGAATCTAGAGGTTTATTGAAGTTTTCTCTCAGTTCTAATGATACCTACTTAAAATTTACCAAAATTATAACCAAGAACACAGTACTATCTCCAGCCCTTTTCAAAAATAAAAGCTAATAAATGCACAGATGTTGCTATTATCCAGAATTTATGATTAAATATGTCATGTATAATAAATAAATTTTTATTCACTTTACTGTGAGTTGTCCTTTTTGGCACATATACATGCAGAAATGAATATCAAGAGTATAATTTTCAAATGGTAAGAACAAAACTATGAGTTTGGGAATTTTTAGAGCTAAGAACTGTGTTTTAGAGGATAGGAGCTATACTTAGGAGGCAGCATTTAAGTCCTTGCATATATATGTATACATAAATGGCATAATAAAGTCTCTATTTAAAGTACATTACAAAAGACTTCAAATTATATATCTTACTAAAAAGTCATTATGCCACATTGGCACATCCATTAAAATTTTGAAATTTTAAATCAAAATTGTCACGCATTGTAATTTGAGTTGACGTTTACTCCAGACATCAACTGTGTCGTACTAGCTGCCCAAACATACCATTTATGAAACAGTTTGGAATTTGGAATGATTTTTACTATTTTATACTATGATGCTTTCCTTAAGCACAAAATAGAATTCAAATCACATCACCCTTGTATTTTGCCTATTTTTCATTAAAAGTGCTAATGACTCAGTTTAACAAGTTAATTTTTGTTCATCTTCTACTATTTGCCTGCTAAGTTTGTGATTCTGACCATTGGTGCACAGAAATGCAGTCAACAAGAAATCACGCTCATTCTAGGTTGGTCAGTCTCTGAGGTTCCCTAAAGGGAACAGATGACTGCAATAAAGAGGAAACTGTGCATAGTTAGACCATCTTGAACTCCTTCACCTTTAAGCTCATTTCACCACTTAACATTTTTTTTTTCAAGTGATCAGTGGATATATTTAGAGTGTCGTTATCGCTTTGGTGTTGACTGAAGCCTCCCACTGTAGGCCATCTGCCATTCCTTAGAATTACCATGGAGTGTAGGGACAGTGGAAAGTGATACTGGGATCCCAAAGAATCTTTTTTTCTCTTCCAACTGCAATAAACAAATTATTTCCCAAATATAAAGTGATTACATCTTCCATTTGTTAGTACTGCTTGTTCAGAGTTCAGTACTCGTTTAGAATAAAGAATAGCCTATGGAATATTCAAATGATAGCTTTCCATTTTGTGGCTTAACTAAAACTCTTCAGTGTGACTGCTGTTGAAGCTCAGTTATCTTAACAAAAGACAGAAACAAAGTTAAATGTGGGCAGCATTCTCAGATTAAGCATTTCCTCAGGCCAAACGCTCAAGCCACTTATTTAGTGTCTATAAATCAATTCTGCCTTATTACATAAAAGATGCATTACTGAAAGATGTATTTTAGACTATGAAACTTAAGTGTTCACCAACTTTATTTTGATTATTTTTTAAGTTTCATATGTCCACTTTCCTTCTAAATCTATCTCCTTTTCCTTCTGGACATGAACCACAGCGTAGTTAGCCAAACCACAAGGAATTTGTAAAGTTTAAAGTACTGTTTCAAAGTATACAGATCATTGCCAATAAAGTCACAACTGTAAACTTAAAGCATTAATGAGATAAAAAGAATTACCAGTGTTCAAGGTACCCCAGGAACGAATGGCTTTATTTCTAAATCCACTTTACTACAGTTTATAATTGTTTATATGCTCCACACTTGAAAATGTTTTCAACGTCAGTGTCTCAGTTTGCCTGGAAGCTGTACAGTACTTAACCAAAGGAATGAGTAAAATGGAGAAATTATATGGGTGACATGATTATTCTTACTGAACAGAAAAGTCACTAACTATGCTTACTTTTCAAGTTTAACCACAACTATACCTACTGTCCTTTTTTAAACTAAAAAGTAAAAACCATGTTTGGTATTATTAAGGTTGTAGCTCAGTGGAAGAAACCTTGCCTAGCATTTGAAGGCTGTGGGTTCAATCCTTAGCACCACAAAAGAAAAAAATAGTTTTTTTATATATATAAAATATACTTTTGTTTGCTGTAGTACAGGGGATCAAACTGAGGGGCTTTCTACCATTAAGCTACAACCTCAGCCCTTTACATACTTTATTTTGAAATAGAGTCTCATTAAGTTGTCCAGGCTGGCTTCAAATTTGCAATCCTCCTGACTCAGTCTCGCAAGTATCTGGATTACAGATGTGTGCCACTGTGCCCAACTTAAATGTATACATTTTTATTAGTGTATGTTTGTGTGACACACAGTTACACTTGTTTGGGGGGAATTGGTGTACACATACTTGCATATGTGCATATGCATAAATCATTCCTTGATCATTTTCCATTCCTCTGTCCCTAGTCTTTACCTTCCTTGCTCCCTTTTTCTTTTGATCCTCTTCTGAATTTCCAAGAAGTCTGCATCCATCTTCCCTACCATTTCTTCTTTATTTAACTCATTTATATTTTGGGGTTCTTTTATAGGGGAAGCCATACAATATTTAACTTTCTATGTCTGATTTGTTTCACTTAAACTTATGATCTCTAGATCTATCCTTTTTCTGGTAAATAATGTGATTTCATTCTTTTTTATGGCTGAGTAGTATTCCAGATATATTTGCAATTTTTATCTCTTCTTAGTGAATGTTAACTATAAGACAGTGTTGTACAGCAAATTTCTAGAATGTATTTACCCTGCATAATTGAGACATTGTGCTTATTGATTTCCCTCTACCCTAGTCCCTGGAAACTACTAATTTCCTCTTATTCCATGAGTTTGATTATTTTATTAGATACTTCATGGAGGTGAAATCATGAAATATTTGTCCTACTATGATGGACTTATTTTGTTTAACATCATGTAATAAGAATTCTTTATTAAAACAGCAACATAACATGGTAAAGACATTTATAATCCGAAAAATATAAATGGTGTTCCCTGCTGCACCATTTATATCAGGGGTAAATTTGAGAAAGCTGTGTAAATTCTCTGTCCTCAGTTTTGTCACACATAAAATGAGGATAATGGTAAAAGAAAAGAATTATTATGAGAAATAAATGAAAGTGTTGGTATTTTCTTTCTTTTGCAGGCAAGAAGCTCTCCTGGCTGCTATTAGTGAAAAAGATGCCAATATAGCTCTTTTGGAGCTTTCATCCTCTAAGAAAAAGACCCAAGAGGAGGTGGCTGCACTAAAGCGTGAGAAGGATCGCCTGGTACAGCAGCTTAAACAACAGGTACTAATAATGCAAGGGCTGGGGTGGCATGGGACCAGCCTTCACACAGTTTTCTATACATGTCTTCCAGAGTATATTTTAGGATCTCATGCTTTATAGTAAACATATGATAATAGTATCCAGTTAATTTTCATAATTTAAGGACTAGATACTTTAACTTAAAACAACATTGAAAGGAGGAAAAGTTTATTTTGGCTCACAGTTTGTAGAAGTTTCAGCCATAATCAGCTGGCTCCAAGGCAGAGTGGCATGGCAGAGGAGAAATAGTTCATGGCAGGCAGAAGGCAGTAAAACCAGCAAGCAGCCCTCTTTATATTCTATCCAGGCTACACTCCCTGAGGATGGGTAGCACTCACCCCCAGGATAGGCCTTCCCATTGGCCACACCCAGAACTATACCAGACCAATCAGTGGGCTAATTTAGTGATCACACATCCTTAATCCCAACATCGCACACTCTAGATGCAGCCATCTCTGAAAAGCCCCATCTTTGACCACATGGGGCTTTGGGGGGACATCTAGACACTAGCCATAACAAGTAGCTAATCTAATTCCTGTATAAAGTTGACTTCAAATCAAAACTATCAGAAGAGACAAAGGAAGTCACCACATATTGGCAGAGACAATAATTCACCAAGAAGAGATACCAGTTGTAAATGTATCTGTACCAAATGTTGTCAAAGCTAGCTACACAGAACAAAACTACCTTGCATAAAAGGGCAGATAGCTACCAGTTCAATCAGAGTGGGAGATTTTAAAGCCCCATTCTCACAAATACACAGTTCAAAACTGGACATCTGGCCCACATCTATAATCCCAGCACTCAGGAGGCTGAGGGAGGAGGATCACCATGAGTTTGAGGCCAGCCTGGACTACATAGTGAGTTCAAGGCCAGCCTATACAACAAAGCAAGACTGCGGCAAAAATTTAGAAAAAAAAAATACACAGGCCAATCAACGAAACAGAATTAATTTTTAAAAATACCAGAGTTAAACTGCACCATAGAACAAATGAATTCTCAGCAGGTCATGAAACCTGCTCTAAAATAGATCATATTTTAAACTATAAAGCATGACTCAATAAATACAGAAGGATTTAAATTATCTCTTTCATCCTATGAGATCATAACACAATGAAATTAAAAATCAAGAGCAAAAGAAACCACAGAAATCACACAAACACATGGATATTGAATAATAATAAATTGAATATTGGATAATAATAATATGGATATTGTTCACTCTTGAACAATTAATGGGTCACATAAGAAATCAGGGAAGAAATTTTGAAATTTCTAAATTAAATAACAATGTTATTTAGCATCAGAATCTGTGGGACACAATGAAAGCAGTTATAAGATGGAAGTTTTAGCTTACAGCAGAAAAACAGATTGATCTCAAAAAAATAATGAAATAATACATTTGAAGGTCTTAGAAAAACAAGAGTAATCCAGTCCCAAAACTAGTAGAAAGAAAGAAACTTTAAAAGATCAGAGTAGAAGAAGTAGGGATATAGCTCAGCGGCATACCATCTGCCTGGTAAGCACAGGTCCTGAGTTTGATTCCTAGTACAAAAAAAAAAAAAAAAACAGAGTAGAAATCAATGAAATTGAGAATTTTTAAAAAGTAGTTACAGTGAAAGAGTTGTTTCTTTGAAAGGCTAAATGATATTGATCCTTGGCCAAACTAAACAGAAGACCTGCATCAATAGAATTAGAAATGAAAAAGGCAAAATTATGACAACACAGAAATCCAGAGGATTACTAGAAACTATTTTAAAACATATTCCAATAAATTAGAGAATTTGAAAGAAATGGATAAGGTCCTAGATGCATATGACACCAAATTTGAACCAAGAGTATATAAAACCCTGAATAGGGTGGACTATGGACTAAACAATGGAATTGTTGCCTTAATAAAAACTCCACTAAGAAATGCCCAGAATCCATTGCATTCACTGATGAATTTTACTGTAATTTAATAGCTAATTCTAATACTGCTCATACAGTTCCATGCAATTAAAGGAGAAGCAATGAGCATAGGAAATAATGCCAAGAATCAACCTACAGAATAAGGAAAATAAATTTGCCAGTGACTGTTCTGATAAAGGGCTAATATCTAAAATATATAAGAACTCAAAAAAAAAACTAACCTCCAAAAAAACAAATGACCCAATCCAAAAAAATGGGCAGATAGACTCAACAGACACTTCTCAAAAGAAGGACAACCTGCCCCACCTCGCCAGCCTGGGTGGAAGACCAGCACACGGACATACCAGGTGCCCCTCGGTGAGGGCAAGAGTACATTCAAAGTGGCAGGGCTGCCAGAGAACAAAATGTCACCAGTGGAATCACACCAGGAGCAGTCATCTCAGTCCAATCCATCCTCATCACCACACTCATGTAGTTCCTTTGAGATAACAGATGCGGATGCTGCCAGTTTCTCCACATTGGTTTTAATGAAGATAATAGATTTTCGGGAGACATATATTCCTTTCAACTCTGAGGATTCACAGCAGCTAGAAGAGGCATGTGGCTCTGGAAAAGATTGTAATAGGAGAGCTAGCTCCATTGATGGGGGTAGGTATGATCTTCACTTGGAGGAAAAGATGCAGTGTGCAATATACTGGATGAACTAGCATCAGAAGTAGAAGATGTACCTCACAAAGACAATAAATATGTTCTCTATGCAGAGAGCTTCAGCCAAATTTTAGAGAGCTTGCTGAATGAATGGAAAAAGAAACTAGAATCTCCCAACAGAGAAATTATTATATTACATAATTCAAATCTCATGGTGCATTACCAGCCCAGTTTCAGATTGTGATGAATGGGGCTCAACACCTACTGATGAAGGTCAGCCAAGAACAGTGAAGGGTTGAGAATATCTGCTGACATTCATTGTGGAGAACCTTTATAAATAGATCACTTAGTCTTTGTAGTCCATGTGATTGAACCAGCTTGTGATCTCCCTTTTCAAAGCATTGTACAATGTGTTAATGATTTTTGCAATGTTTCCTTCAACTTGCCACAGGCACATTTTAAGAACACACAAGAAAATTGCCAGATTGGAAGAACAGAATTTTGTCCAGTCAGCTGGCACAGTCCTTTACATTCTGCTAGTGTGAATGTAGATCTATAGCAAATCATCCTACACAGCATTAACTAACTACCTCAGGCACTTGACCAATGACAGTGATCCTGGATCTCCTTTATAGTAGTCTCACCTAGTGTTAGACTACTGTGGACACAGTAGCTTCTGAAATAAACCAAATATACATATTTCTTCTGTAGAAGAATCCTGATTTCAAAGGGGGTGTATCAATTGCTGTTATAGTTTATGTTCACTTACATATTTGATATCCTAAAAAATCAGATTCTTTGGGGGATATTGACAGTGAAAAGGATTCACTAAATATTGTTATGGATCATGGAGATGCACTAACACTGGAGGAAGAATTAAAGAAACTTTAACTCTGACTTCTTTAATATCTTTGGGAAGGAGGTAGTAGATAAGGAAGCTCTGGCTTTAGGTACAGAGATCTTCCAAAAATGGAAATTCCCACAGAAACAAGAAAGAAGATATTAAACTATTTCAAGACCAGAAAAAAATCACTGGTTATTGGTCAAGTAACCATACAGTTCAGAGAATCTGAATCCTACAGTAATACAGATGATACTAGAAAGGACACATACCTAGATGTTGGCATTGGGCAGATATTTGTTTGTTTGTTTTTTGGTGTTTTTTTTTTTCTGGTACCGGGAGTCGCACTCATGACCTCACGCTTGCCAGGTAGGCGCTTTGCCGCTGAGCTAAATCCCCAGCCCCAGGGCAGATATTTGTAAAGTACCGCTAGCACATCTACAAACCAGAAAGATTCTTTGCCTTTGGATCTCCTATTAGACTGTTCCTTACTGTTTGAGGACTAAAAAGAATTAATCCCAATTAAAAGCTTCCAGTGAGCATAGGTTTCTTCAGTACTTACCTTCCTTTTGTTCCTGTGGCCTATAGTGGAATTTGAGCAAATGCTGATTCCACATCTTAAAGGCAAGAAGCGGATGTCTTTATGAGAATGAATATGGACCTTAGAACAGCTTGCTACATTCACTGTAGATGGTCTCAAAGTCTTTCACTAGAGCTCTATACCCTGTCTTACAAGCTCAGAGAGTGTAGACGCTAAAGCAAAAGCAGAGTGAAATTCAGAGAGGTCCAGTGATGTTAACACAAGAAGAGACCTCTGCAGCAGTTAAATAAATTCTACCATCAATATGGGAATGCTGAATAGGGGCCACTGTATTGACTGTATACTATAGGAGAAACCCATTGAGTTGTAATGAGTATTTATTCGCTTTACAATGTCATCTATGCTACTGGCAATCTGAAAATAGAATGTTGCTGGTCCTCAAAGTGATCTACCATACCAAAAGTGTCTTTCTTGATCAGGTCTCACAGTGTTATGGTTTGTGTCTAGATGTCCCCACAAAACCTCATGCAGTTATGAGGCAGGCTTCTAGAGTTTTTGATTGATTCGTGGTCCAATGCTGGGATAATGAGTGTGAGTGCTACACCTACCCTGGGGTGGGTATCCTGCATACAATACAAGGAAGGGAAAGAGTCTTGCTCTTGTTTCTCCCTTTCTGCTCTTGCTGCTTTTGCTGTTTTCTGCTGCCATGAACTATTGTCCTCTACCATGTGCCACTCAGCCTTAGAGCAAGCCAAGTATAGACTGGAACCTCCACAGACTGTGAGCTAAATAAACCTTTCCTTCACTTTAGGAATTGGGTGTTTTGTCTCAGTAAGAGAAAACTAACCAAGACACACAGTAAAAATGACCTGTCTTTGGCTGCTTAATACCAACACTGAGGAATCCTTCCCCAGAAAACCCACCTGTTTCTTACTGCAGTTTTCTCCTCCTCCACTGCATCGTTTCCTACATGTTGCCTACCACTTACTCACCTTCCACATCTTTTGAAGATAATCTTCCCTTTTGGAAGTGAATGAAAAA